AAGCTGAATCGATTTTTTTTAAAAACTGTATCTGTGACTGTATTAATGAACAGTGTTAATCCTGGATAATGAAAGACACCTCAAAGGTAACGAAAATGTCGAGCACGAATTTGCAACGCGTCGAAGACCTGGAGAAGAGTTCTCAGTGGGCCGAGCTTACCAACGAAATCAACGATCTCGAGAAACTGTGTCATCTGAACAACCACGTTCGCCATTCCAGGCGGCACCCGTTGCGGTACAGCTATCACAGACGTTCGATGCCGCAGTTGCAGAAGGCGACGTCCGTTTGGATCGAACCCAGCCACGAGTTCAACGAAACTTTCCAACAGACTAGCGACTATTCGACGTGGCGACCAAAAACCGAATTCGAGAGAGATTACTTCTTCGAGGACTACAATAAAGAGGATACAAATTACGAGAAGCGTTACAGTCCTCAAACCATGGATAACAATCAGCAGTCCAATGAATACCGTCACGGTTTATCGCAGCATTCGAATCGGTCCCAAGATTCGTACAACGAAAATAAATATAACAAAATTTACGACGACGAGCCTGCGTACAGTGGAACCAGGGAGAGGCTGCACGAGATTTTCGAGCGCAATAGATATCTGAGGAGAAAATTTTTCGCCATGCCGGTCGACGACGCGACTAACTACGTTGCAGACTTCCCCAAATCGTTCGAAAACAAAAATGTTAATACCGTGAATAAGTACAACGGATTCGGGAGCACAGAGACGATCACAAGTCAGAGTAATCAGTCGTCTATCAGCAGCAGCGATAGAAAATCTAGATGCCAATTAAACGCAACGCCTGAGTTGGTCAGCGAAGAGAATTGCAACAGCGAATTTTCGCACAGAAATAACTGTAAGAATGCTGTGATGGACGTGAGTCATTTACAGGGTGGGCGAATCCTGACGACGACGAAGGATGGTAGATTATTAGTCAACGTGGCGCCTGGGAATGAATTGTGCACTGCGGGTGATTCAATGAATCTACAAAATACGATTCGTCTTCCCGATTCGGTTCACAATGACAGTCTCGTAACTAAACAAGAATTCAATGGAGACATAAGTAATCAAGGCAACACGAATAGTCGTTATACTTCGGATACAAGTCCATGTTACTATGAACAAAGTGCACGAAATAGTAAAAATGAAAAGAGAGAGCAAGGAATTAATGAGAGTCGGACAGAGGCACAGTCCTATTCGATTAACCAAACGAATTCCAATTACGTTAAAAATGAAATGCCTGAAAGATACGAAAGTCAAGATACGAATCAGAACGGAGATATCTATTTCCAAGGCGAACAAATGTCACAAGATAAATGGAGTCCCTCGCAGAATCTGTGCAAATCCCTACCCAATTTATCTCTTCACGAGAAACTGAACAACTCACAAAATAATTTAAGAGACGCGTCTCTTAACTATGGTTTTGACACGAAACCTGAATTGTCCGCGTATCAAAACGCATCGAACGAGAAAGAGAACAAAGAATTCCGCTTTGCATCCCAGATGGATTTAACGAACAATTCGAGTTTTACGTTGCGAAGGGTGAAGGTTACCAAAGTGCCGCCACCCCTGGATATGTCCAGAGTGAACGAGAAGTACGAAGAAGTGGAGGCCCTTGAAAGGAGGCAGTTGAACCTGGTGAACGTGTCCCTCTTGCGAGACTACAATCGACCAATGGAGAGACAAGCTACCGTCGTCCGAGAGGAGTGTTCCTCGGACGACAATCCTAACGATTCAGACTACAAACAGAGGACGGGTTTTCGCCGAAACGAGTGGCAGAGTCAACAAAACGGCGTTCAATCTAGAAACTATCTTGGGACGGACACTGTCGACTATCGGCGGGACAAGGGAACCCTGCTGGAAAGTGGAAATCTTGGGAAAACTTGTTTGGACAACTATCAGCAGTCGAAGAGGAGCTGCGAACGAGTTTTGCACAAATCTTGCGGGGATCTATCTACGATGGGCGACCTGCGGTCGCCGCAGCTGGTGAACAATTACAAGAATTCGATGATGGATCTACGCGCGAGTAATTCCGCGGAGAATCTCTGCGAGCGGGGTTCACAGGTGGCTGAATCCGAGGAGTCTCGCAGGAGAGCAGCTTTGTCCGATCACGTGAATTCGATGAACGGAGCTCAGCCCGGGAGCGGAAGCACGCTTCCCTCGGTTTACGGACCGATTCCGTACAGTCAGTAAACATGCGCATAATTTTCCTGAAATAATTCTCTTCCTGCTATAAATACCCACCGTGTGCCGTTAGGATAGCCGCGTACATTTTCCCCGTTTTGCTCCCTTCTTTTATTCTTCTCGCCTGTCTCGTATCGTTACGTCGCGATGCGTTTAGAAAATGCGTTTTGCGGTCGTAAATTTACTCGGCCGAACGAGTCCGTAGTATTCGGAAGGGAAAGAACTGTTCAAGTGATTCGGGATAATGATTTTACACGTACGGGATGTTAAACGACTGGAAACTATCCGGTTTTTGCGTGGACAATCTCGTTAAGAGGTAAAATCAATTGAAGCACTGCTGTAGAATCAATTAACCCCTTCCCTTCCTTCCACAAATTCCTTTATATGGAAGTGATGCTCTCAATATTGATGACCGATTTAAATTACATTCGAACATTGATTGAAAAATGGATAAAAAATAATTTGGGAATGAAAGGGTTGCAGCGAGTCAAAATTCATTCTTCGGACAGCTTTGAATAGTCAAAGCTCTTAGTCTCTACTTCCACTTAAGACACGGTAGCGTGACATGTAAACACAATGCACGTCGCCACGCGTTAGTGAAACTAAGACGCAAGCGCAACTTGCGATTCCCTCCGTTCGCCAACGCTGGCCTGCAGTTGCATTCGCTTTATCAGTCGCATGATCTCGCTTCGTGCTGGTGGATACGCGCGCACGACACTTTCATCAGCATCGAATTTGTGACCAAATTCGCAAAACTGTTTCCCAGTAAGAAGTTAGCGTTTGTCTATAATAGTATTAGAAATAGTTCATTTAATTTGCTTGCATTCGTAGTTTCGTTAGCAATTTCGGAGTAAATCCTTGATATTTGATAACACATGAAATTTCGTTTCGTAATAGATAGATAGATAGATAGAATAGATGATTAGCACTTGTGCACGTATATAAATAGCTTTTACAATACGATATTTTACATAACGATTTTGCACTGTGTCTACTTCTTTTACATTTTCAAGATATTCTCTCCCTTCATATCTGTAGAAATCTAAGTATATCTTGAGAACAATACGTAATTGTATGCTTAATGAAATTCCTCAACGCCTGACGTTGATTCAAGATCTGTTTACAGCAAAATTCTTTTTCGGAGTTGGAAATTAGTTGCTCTTAAGCAAATTGAATTCACGATTAGTCTCTATGCAAATCGATTGCTAGTTCTCATTTCAAATAACCGGAGTCTTCTTTATGTGAACGAGGAAACCGTATAACTTCCTGTTGAACTAAATATGCCACGACCCCGATATGGGTTAAACCAGTACTTCTTATCCGCGATCCGATCTGATTTTTTTTTTTTGCATAGAAGGTCTGTCTTCCGACACTGAGTTTTTGCATGCCCTAATAATTTCCAGGGAATCGGAAATGCAAAGACGCCCGATGGTCGCGTGCATATTGATTGTGGGTCACTTCGAATATGATGGGTGTAGGTCAGTGCAAATTACGGGAAAAAATGAACCTTGCAGTTTTTCTTTATTTCACTATTGAAAGAATAAATGTACAAGAATTAGTGCATAAATATTTTTCTTATATCAGCAATGAGAGTTTATTAATTTTGATAGAAAATTATTTCTTCTCTTCATCTAATTATTAGATTCAGGGAAGAATGATATATATATATATAATAGAATTATTTATGAATTCTCTACGCTTTGATGATATACATATGTGTAACTGCAAAAGTAAACCGAATGATTATTTACTTCTAAGGCCGTCAAATCTCATGTTTCGCAAGGCAACACCACGAAAGAAGAGACGTGTATCTGCATATCGCGTATCGTTGTTCGAGGTTATCGAGAACGCTGATCTACTTGTACTTACATTTTAGTAATTACTTAAACATCATTCATGGTACACATCATCTAAACGAGAATTGAAATTGCTGCTCTTCAGCAACATTTTAATAACAATTAACAGCATTCTATTCACGATACTAGATAGTAATTAAAGTTTCTGTTTTAATCTTCAGCATGTGTTGTATAAAAAGAATCAATGCCAATTTTAATAACCAACTTATTAACACCCTAATTGCAATATGAATCTATTACGAATATTACCAGTTTTTAACTGACTCGTCTCGTGACATTTAGGAAACGATTTACCATCGCGAACTAAAATACGCGAAAGGGTATTGATTATTATCGAACGTCGTCGCGTACAATGGGCCAGTGGTCATAATTTATGCGTTAATTCCATTTGTCATTATGATACATGCGTACCAATACGCGCGCGCGAGATTTCATTAGCGACAGCGGATGTTTCGTTCTGATATTAATCAAGGAACAATGGTACCGTTGGTTCAAACTTCCATTAAACCAGAATCGCGCGCGATAACACTGTCATGATTGTTAACGTGTCTGACCAATTAAGTCAATTCGTTTTCTTGAAAAACACAAATACTGAGATATTCCTGATATATATTTGTCTATAATTTAGTAACAGTAGATGCACTATTAGATTCAAGTTACATAAACATTGTATAATAAAACTAATTAGAGTTACTCGTATTTGAATGAAACCACTATTCAATTATAAATAGTATTACAAAATTTAAAAAACCATGTAAATTTCCGAGTGCACGTGGACTGTAAGAATGACCATCGTCCGTTAAAAGTTCGTGACGTGGAGATGGACAACTAGCACAAGTGGACGATTAAGAGTAACGCCGCGAGATAAAAACACGGCAGTAGTTGTAGGAAATAAAAATCGTAGCACGCCGGGTAACGATGCAAGAGTAATAAAGTGCGTTCACTGTCGCAGAATCGCCGAGGCGTTATGTGGAGGGTGAAGTGACGATTCACTATCGTTCGCCAGTGCGTACAGAGGCGAAGGAGCCATTGAGCGAGGAAGAACTCGCTCGACGGAGCGCGGAGAATATGCGACGCGTTTATCAAGAGGAACGTCGACGCAAATATCTCCAAGAGCTGCACGACATCGATTCACGTCGGCACACTGACAATTTCATGTGAGTTTTAACACCCACTCTGTTTTTTATTAATTAACTCGCGTCAGTCTTCCTTCGAGAAATATGATTTCAATGAAACTTTGAAAAAATTCAATTATATGTACTGTAGAAATATCCAGTATGACGTGAATTCAACATAAACTACCTTTCCCATTTCTGTAACAGACGTGATTTTTGAGGGATCATAATTATATTGCGGATTTTTATTCAATTGCAGAAAATTTGCACGTAAGAAAATGCAAAAATACATAAAATAATTAATGTAAATCTCATGTTACAAAATTATAGGAATGAAAAATCTGTACAAATGGAGTACATCCCTTAAAATATGTTTCAAAAAATATGATTCTGCATAAAAATCCGCAGTCTAATGATATCACTCTTATTTGGCAATTTAAATTATTAAAATTATTTTTCTGTACCAAATGAAAGAAATTCTAATAATTATACTTTCCTTGCATTAAACTTGGTACGTGTGACTCACCCACGCTTATTACGTCGCCCGCGTAAAATGACTTAAAGTACCCGGTGCACGATTACGCAATGACTTAAGTAACGGGAAGCATACGATGCTTACACCTCATCCAACAATGCATGATTAACGTGTCATTGACTATCATTATAAATTATAGTGAAGCGTATATTGGATTTATAAAAACTTTGAAATCTCAGTAAATGTATGAGAGCGCAAAAAGTTTAGTTTTAAGAGGATTAATTGAACAGAGTCTAACTAACGATGGAAACCTGCCTTTTATAATTTTCTTTAAGCTTCTTACTTAAGTCGATAAGTTCATTACGAACGCTTAATAAGAATTATTTAACATTTATTATCATCGTTCAGTTCGAGATGCTATGTGGCTTTCTTTGTTAGAGATGACTTGTTTTGTTGAACAACGAGTATAATTGCAGTTTGCACAGAACCGTGTACATTCGTTCTCTACGAGCATTGTATGTATACGTAAGAATTGTGCATTGTTCTGAGTCGAAGTAAGGAAATAATAGCATGAAGCCCCGCAACGAGTAGAAGGAAAACTGTTCATTTCGTCAGAACGCAATAAATGTAAATACGAACTAAAAGAATTCAAACAATAAACCAATAAGGAGAAAATAATTTTCCTCGTTTCAACTTTTATTAAATTGTTTATTGTATTCTATCATTATGTTTGCACGTTTCGCGTTTTTAATATTTGCAGACCGTCGCAGAAATCTCCGATCCCTCTGAACCGTTACGACGACTTCGTGGATGATCTGAGCCACAGGAGCAGGTCCCAGGAGCAAACGCCGGAACCTCGACTCGTGGCGCGAGCGCTCTATAACTTTATTGGCCAATCTTCCCGTGAATTGAGTTTCCGTCGTGGTGATATAATATTTGTGCGTCGCCAGGTAGACAAGAACTGGTACGAGGGTGAACATAACGCTATGATCGGCCTCTTCCCATCAAATTACGTCGAGGTGATCCTCTTCTTTAACTTTCTTTTCCCATACGTACTTTAATTACAAAATTATAGTCACGTAATTCATCAAATTATCGTTATCTAATTGATCGTATTATCTAATGTGTGATTTAAGTTATTACGATTTCTGAATTTTCAATTATACTAGATAATTTATATTTCTTATACTAATACAAATAGTATTTACTTTCTATTGTATTATAGATTTTGCCATTCGATGGCTTGCGAACGACACCAAAGAAACCCTACGAGGGCCAGGCACGAGCTAAGTTTAATTTCATCGCTCAGTCGAATCTCGAGTTGTCTTTAGCTAAAGGTAAATGCACATAATATCGTGCGATAATACAAATATTAAGAAAATTGTTATATTTAAATAACGATTGATCGTTTCAGGAGAATATGTCGTTCTAACCAGAAGAGTTGACGAGAATTGGTATGAAGGACGTATCGGGAACCGAAAGGGAATATTCCCCATCTCTTACGTCGAGGTCATCACGGAACCTGGACATAGATCAGGTACAACAAATTCTCTTTTTTTATAATATAAAATGTGGAATTTTTATTGTTTATTAAGTATTACAAATTTTTGTATTACAGAAACGCCAACGCAAAGCAAACCAGTCGCCGCTCCAGCCGCTCACAGTCTATTAGCGAACGGATCAGCTGGAGGGAAAATGAGTATGGGACCTCATCACTATATGCCGTCCATACCAGTCAACATGAACACAACTCAGCCACATTATAATTCACTGGTTAGTTCTTCAAAAATACGAAGACGTTCTTATTAAATTCCTACCAATTTGATGAATGAATTAATTGTTTTTTATAGCCACGAATTGGAGGGAGCAAATTGCACGTGTCGCAACTTAAACAAGAGCTGCACATCGACACGCATTCTGAACCAATGCCGTTAGTATTTATAGAACTTTTATTATATGTTAACATTATTTAAATTTTATTTATAATTCACGTAATTTTGAGAAAATATATAGTACCGATCTCGGTAACGTGTGTTCTTAAATTTTTTTTCCACATTTGATGGCGGAATTACAAATTACATCCGTCTTTTGTATAACCGCAGTCTGAGTATCTCAAGCGTATCGCATTGTTTTACGATCGGAGATTCTTTATCAAATTATCGCTCCTTTCCTGCGGCGAAATATTTGCTTTCTATTGTTTACCGTTGTTAATTTACTAATTTAATCATTGCATCGATCAAAGAAAACCAGAGACGATAAGAATGATTTAAGTTCTTATTTAATCAATGATCAAAATTAAATGTTCGTTCCTCGTATATTTTCCAGGTACCGAGCGCTGTACAATTATAGACCGCAGAACGAGGACGAGCTGGAACTGAAAGAAGGCGATACGGTGTACGTGATGGAAAAGTGCGATGACGGGTGGTACGTCGGTTCCAGTCAGAGGACCGGTTACTTTGGTACTTTCCCCGGGAACTACGTCGAACGACTGTGAGGAACGACAGGCGTATCTAAAGAAAAAGAACCGCAGATTACGTTTTAAACACCAAAGCACTAAAGAGTCGAACCGTTAACTCTATAAGATAAAGTTAAACGAGTTTCACGTATCGACGATAAGGGCAACGAGTCGCTACCGTCTTCCTGTTTGTGTATTTCAATGGTAGTTAAACTAAGGCATAACGAAAATCGAATCATTTATACAGCGAAAGAATATGCGACAAGCTTATCGAAACGGGCCTTATCGTCGGATTAACCAAAAAACGAAGAAACCGAGGAAAAATAAACGTAAGGCTACATAATGTGTACGTAGTGTATGATAACGTTTAGTAATTTATTGTCGACGAGGACATCAGGCGGACGTCGTGAGATATCGAGGTAGAAAAATATACCCGTGCGTCGGAACGACGTAAGTTTTACAAGGGCAAATTTATCGTTCGTTTAAGATGAAATCGTTGTGAGAGGGCAAGAGATCTGTCGATTATCTGGTTTCACCAGCAACGAACGAAGTTATTCGTGTTAACCATTTTATCGATCAAGCGACAATTCTTGCATAGAACATGTCCTTCCGGCCACTCACAAATATATCCGAACGCGAATTGTATTTATAATATTTGAGTATAAGAAAAAAAAGTGTGGAATGAAATTCTTCATTTGATCTGAACAGTATAAAAGTACATATTCAAATTGAATAATGATCGACGATAATTGTCGCTTAATCGGAAGCATTCGGTGCTTCGAAGTTGTAACCGTACGATTAGAAGAAATCGTGCAACGCGGAATACTGGGTTACTAGCACGCAGAAGATTAAACCGTGAGATTCTGTTGGACCCCTCTGTTACTTTCGGTTGGACGCCGTTTCCTGTAACACGTGACACAAACGAGACGACGAACGAGAAGATGGAACGCAATGCAATGCAAGTAAGTATGGCGAGATCGTAAGTCCATCGCGTACTTTTAAAACACGAACCAAAGATACGAACGTCCGGGAATTTTGTCTTGTTTCAACGTGTTCTCATAGAAAAGCGTAAATATGTAACGTATGCACGCACCGTGTGCTGCGTACATGTTTCGTGAAGATTGTTCCGAGTCGAGAGAATTTTTCAGTAAAACGAGTCGACGATTCGTCGACGGAGAACGTTGTTTTGAATAATTCGAGGAAGACGTTTCCTTCTGTGTTTTTGTAGATACAGTAAAAACGAAATCAGTGTTATTGTTACATTCGTGAGTATCCAAGAGTAAGCGATTTATAATTGAGAGTTTGCCTTCCCAAATTAATATTTTTGTAAACATTATTTGTACCCAGAGTTATATATATATATACATACGAATGAATTATATAATGTATAGAAAATATATCTATATACATACGTATACATAATTACGATATTATATATACTATATGAAGAATTGTAATTGTAATAGGTAATTAACGGCATAATTAATCGCGCACGTGTTAAGATGCACATACAATAAGATTCACGAAACCGAGTCGTGTTGATCCCCATTTATGAATAGTGAATTAATCGTAACTAGAGAATTTTCGCCGATGTCATGAGGCTCTAAGATTTTACGGGAACGTTTCGCTATGACGTTATACAACAGCCTACGGCTAAGTATAGGATTAAAAAAGAAAATTACATAATCCAGTTGAAAAAGCAGACAATACTTATTATTATCTCGACTCTTGTAGAACGGAAGGAGTTAATGGACATACGTAGTCAGGGCATTAATCCAACACGTTGCGACTAATCGTTTCGATTCAGTTTTAAACAAGGTGCACCAGCTTTTAGCCCTTTCGCTTTTAGAATCATTTTAATTAGTCATTTATCTTATTTTAAAATTCTTTGCCTAAGGTGGCAGATCATTGTTAATTAAATTTTTAAAGCAAGCTATTTCCGATTTTATCTTCATTTAATGATTTATTTAGATTTAACATTGTATTTAATTAGTTATATGTTTTAATGTAAGCGAAAGGGCTCGTTAAGGAACTTCGCGTGTAAAGTTTTACTTCCCAATCAAGCATATCTGTGTATTTCGAGATGTTGCAGGATTATAGATGCGAAACTAATGTCCGAAAAAGATCGAAAATACTTCGAAATGTATGTACGTTTTTATATAATGTATCATAAACGTAACTGAAAATTATTTATTAGAACGTAAAGATTTATATCTCCATTTTTATTTCTGTATTTCATCTGATAACTGCGTTTGCGTCTATAAATCTGAGATATCAGCCTCACCGTTACATATCTTCTGTTGTATGTATACATATCTACGCTGATTTGTTCAGCTATCATAATCTCGGGCATGAATTTGAGGAAATGGAGGAACCGTGCGAGGGTACGTGATGAGAAAGGAGAACGCGATTTTCTCCGATCGAATCGAGTTTTTCGAATCTTCGACCGCGACGTATTCGCGAATAAAAACGAGTAGAAGCTTTTTATAACGACGTGGAAAGAGAACATGATAATATGGAATTACTTGTGTTCTTCTAATCAGTTAAATAACTGAGAAAATAAAATTAATTAGTATTTAAAAGTTTCAGGATTTATTTTACTATTATTGTATATCGTAGATCTTTGCAAATTCTTGTGATTATATATATATATACATACGAATGAATTATATAATGTATAGAAAATATATCTATATACATACGTATACATAATTACGATATTATATATACTATATGAAGAATTGTAATTGTAATAGGTAATTAACGGCATAATTAATCGCGCACGTGTTAAGATGCACATACAATAAGATTCACGAAACCGAGTCGTGTTGATCCCCATTTATGAATAGTGAATTAATCGTAACTAGAGAATTTTCGCCGATGTCATGAGGCTCTAAGATTTTACGGGAACGTTTCGCTATGACGTTATACAACAGCCTACGGCTAAGTATAGGATTAAAAAAGAAAATTACATAATCCAGTTGAAAAAGCAGACAATACTTATTATTATCTCGACTCTTGTAGAACGGAAGGAGTTAATGGACATACGTAGTCAGGGCATTAATCCAACACGTTGCGACTAATCGTTTCGATTCAGTTTTAAACAAGGTGCACCAGCTTTTAGCCCTTTCGCTTTTAGAATCATTTTAATTAGTCATTTATCTTATTTTAAAATTCTTTGCCTAAGGTGGCAGATCATTGTTAATTAAATTTTTAAAACGAGCTATTTCCGATTTTATCTTCATTTAATGATTACTTAGATTTAACATTGTATTTAATTAGTTATATGTTTTAATGTAAGCGAAAGGGCTCGTTAAGGAACTTCGCGTGTAAAGTTTTACTTCCCAATCAAGCATATCTGTGTATTTCGAGATGTTGCAGGATTATAGATGCGAAACTAATGTCCGAAAAAGATCGAAAATACTTCGAAATGTATGTACGTTTTTATATAATGTATCATAAACGTAACTGAAAATTATTTATTAGAACGTAAAGATTTATATCTCCATTTTTATTTCTGTATTTCATCTGATAACTGCGTTTGCGTCTATAAATCTGAGATATCAGCCTCACCGTTACATATCTTCTGTTGTATGTATACATATCTACGCTGATTTGTTCAGCTATCATAATCTCGGGCATGAATTTGAGGAAATGGAGGAACCGTGCGAGGGTACGTGATGAGAAAGGAGAACGCGATTTTCTCCGATCGAATCGAGTTTTTCGAATCTTCGACCGCGACGTATTCGCGAATAAAAACGAGTAGAAGCTTTTTATAACGACGTGGAAAGAGAACATGATAATATGGAATTACTTGTGTTCTTCTAATCAGTTAAATAACTGAGAAAATAAAATTAATTAGTATTTAAAAGTTTCAGGATTTATTTTACTATTATTGTATATCGTAGATCTTTGCAAATTCTTGTGATATTAAAAAGATCTGGATGTAATTTTGTACAATGAACGAATTATACAAACATGAGAATTTTCCATATTAGCATGTTCTCCCATCGGTATTTATTCTGTAACTAAATAAAAATTCGTCCCGCTTAATTTGAATTCGTTGGATTTACACTTCTAATTCGCACTAATGGTAATGTCACTGTGTATTGTATACTCGAAATTGAAATAAACCTTAGTCCGTTAACGAGACTGCAGACAATCTCTCTTCTCAATGGTTCAATTTATTACAAATAATAACATAAGATGTAATTGTAATTTAATATTTATCACAAATATAATTTACGTCCGTAACATACGATGTTTCCTGTCGTAGGAGTCTAACAAATCGGATGATTCGTTTCTCTCGCAAGAGCGGCAACACCTTTTCCTGAATGCTGTCACGTTACAATAGCGCTGTAAGCTCGGTATAGAGCAGAATCGATTCTTGTCCCCCCAGCAACGGGATGAAAATTCGATGGCCCTGGTTGCATGTCCGTTGCAAGAACGCACCTCCGTTTTTGCGATCGGTCCGTCACAGCTGTAGAATGGTTCGTTCTCTGGTGGAATGCAGCGAGCTATTCGGGATTGCATACCTTTGCCATTGTTCTTTGAGCACTGCGAGAGAAAAAAATATAGTTGATGCACCCAAGTTGGCGTCGAATAAACTAAAAATAATTAGAATATATATTTTCTTACGGATGACCAGTCTGTAAAAATCCAACGTCCAGGACAAGGGATCCTGTTACATTCTCTAGTACTACTAGGCCTGAGACTCCTGTGACATATAGACGATTGTACCATCGTCCGAAACACTTCTAATTCATTGTCTCTATTCACTTCCGTCCCATTGAAACCCGAATGGATGCAGTATAACTGTCGTACTTGCGTACCGAATCTCCCGCACGTGGCAGAACACGCTTCCCACGGACCAGGCAACCATTTGAACGAACAGCTGCAATAAACCAGATAAAGACAAGTAATTATAGAAACTCTTAAAGGGAAACGATTTATTCAATCATTTTAAGCTTCAACGTTTATATTCTAAATCCATTTCTTTTCTTTATTTACTTGTTCTTTATTTACTTGGATGATAAATTACTCTGTTATTGATTTTACTATAAATTATGAAGAATATCGACAACATAAGAATCGGTATTAACTCAATTCCTACGTTCCACGATATTCTACCTAAACATGTTGCATTCTTCAATCTCCTGGCTCGGTTTACCCGCCAGCGGACACTTTCTTCTCGATACTAGTCTACCAGTTTTCTCGTCTTTGCAGACAATCATTTTCTGACGCGTCCCACCGTCACAGCTGGCCGAACAAAAGCTCCAACCGCCGAATAACCATACATATCTATCCTTGATCTTCCTCCCATTGGGATTTATAAAATACCGTAAAGAAACTGTGACCGATATTTCTTGCTGTATTGCGTTCTCCGGCACCATCAGCTACAAAAAAAGAATTCACATTACGTACACCTCTGGTCAATAAAATTTTCCATCTAAAATATTCTGTGCCAGAATTTTAATAAAATATACATATATTGGATAGTGAAAATACAACAAATATTCAATGAATATGCTCCAGTGAACGAAATCTGTTTTAATACAAGTTATAATAAATAAATTACTATTTCAGCAATCTAGAATGACACACACTTGTGTAAACAAATTATATTCGCATAAAAAAAATGTTATCCGGAAAATGAGAAACGTGGAAAACTTGTATATACCAGGATCACTAAATCCTCAAACGCGGAGCCAGCTGCATTTATGGCGAGCGTGTTGTTATCGATACTTCGTACTCGGAACGCAGCTCCTTGAACGATCGTTAAATCCCGCTTACGCGAAACTGAATTCTCCTGCACGTTTCGTCTTCTCCTGCCGTCCCCTATCACGATCGTTAAATTATCCTGATGGAAAAATGGGGAAGCCAGTATCGTGACGTTCATGAATAAGTTATGAGCACCGTACGGTATTACGGCCACGCGTGTTACTTCTGAAAGAGGACAATTTCTGTACATGAAATATAATTTAAAATTGACATTTCGATCATCGTTAAAATTACGGCAAATTGTTATTACGACTGTGACATCGTGTTAACATGATGTGAATCATGATCACACGTGATCGTGTTAACATGAAAGGTCTCGTGAAATAAATATTTTTATTCATTATACTGTGTTTAAAAAATCGAGCATTTAATGTATTGGACTCGAAGAAAAATGGAGGGAGTTTCATTCCTCGGGGCAGATTGAACCAGTAACTAATCACTTCGCTTTCGCCATTCCTCTCCCTTTAAATTAATTAGGAGCACCCCAGGTCCGCTCCACTCTCGCCTTCGAGACTGTCTCGAGTTTGACGGAAACTTCATCGCCACTTCTAATAACTCAATTTGAACGGTGACTGGACTGACCTCGTCGCAGCTTCCGTTGAAACTTGCTGACGACGTTCTCGCAGCTCGAATTATCACCGTCGCATATTCCGCACGCGTCATACGCCTTTCCCGATCCCAGAACGTTGTCGCACCCCATTTGGTGGCATTCGCCCTGTCAGTCAAATTTAGTTACATTAAAAATGCGCAAATCGCTTCGTTGTAAATTCGTATAGTAACAAATTGAGGAGCGAATTCGGTGAGTAGATAATACATTTATAAACATCGTAAATAATTAACAGAGCTAATTTGCGAAGTGTCTGAAACAATTTTATTCAAATGACAATCGGGCGTGAATTATTCACGTTTGATTCTGAGCAAACCGTACTGTTATAATATGGATACGATTTCCTGAATTACGGATAGATCTCTAAATTTGAACACGTTGAAGCGTACAAGGATTTACATAATTGGTATATCGAGTGCATTAATCCATACGAGGTAGAGACTTGCTTTGTATCTACATATGTCCTATCAATATTGTCATAATCAAATATGTTCAGTATTATTACGTCATACACTCGTGTACCTCCCTTTGACAGATCAACAGATTTGAAGAGTTTAATTATTCCATTTAAAATTAATTTTGAAAATCATATACGTTTTTGTTGCACATTGTACATAATATTCTTCTTATATCTAATTTCTATTCTATAATAATAATAATAATCTTAATCGATAGCTTCTGTATGTTTTGTAATAATACATACAGTTTGCTGTATGTGCTTTTTGACAATAACGGACGATACCTGTATACATATATCGGTCGAGCCATAGGAGCACGGCGTGCCATCGATCAAATGTTTCCTGCTGTGAAATATCTCGCCCGTCTCTTTGCTTCTGCAGACCAGTCGACATTTCAAGTTCTCCCGATCGGACACGTACGGTAACCAGGTCACGTTTCTCTTCGACGGAACTCTTTCCAGATACAAATTATTGCCGAGTTTCGAACATTGTTGAGCTCTCAAATCGGCGGTCGTTAAACACTTTGGTAAACTGCACACCCGGCAATCGTCGCTCGGGCCCGAACAATATTTCCCCCCGTAGCCAGGTCTTGTCGTAAAATTCCAAAATGAATCAATGTTCCAAAGTCCAGTTGTTTAATAAAGAAAAAAATAATCAAATAGACTTAAAACTTTGATTTATTCGATATCACACTTATGTATCCGTGGTAATTTAAAAAAAAAATGTATCGATTTAAATACTAACGCAGGCTTGTTACATCTTCGCGTTCGACATTGCACACCTACTCCGCATGTCCGCGAACATTTTTCCCAAGTACTCCACCTGCTCCATCCTCCATCTCTAGGCTTGTGTAGCACCACGCCGAAATCAAAATTTTTTCTATTCGACGATTGACATCGACCGTTTATGCACCACTGAAAGAGCCATCGTCATACTTTGAAGGAGGAACGACTCAATCGTTTTATATAAATCCTTACCTTAGAGATACCGCACAAAGTACCTTCTAAAGGTGGACCCTTCTTAGTTTTACACGTTTGAGAGATGTTGCTGTTACCACACCACAAACGGGAACAGGGTTCCGCGACACTGAACGCTTTACAATGCTCAAATCTAATTTTAGAAAATAAATTAATATCATATTAATCAATTATAAAGAAAAATGACACGCACCCTTCGCCAAATTCCATACGGCATTGCTCATCCATCGAAAACGTATTGCGAATGATGGTTTTTGTTTGAGCGACTCCATCGTGCCGGGGTTTATTCAAAAGACACGACCACTGCCTGGAAGTATCTCTTTTAAGAGTATTTTAACTTTCGCGCAAGATATAAAGCGTCCTTACCTGACTTTTCGATGGAACTCCTTCTTAGAGCAGGCTGACCAGTAGAAATGATGGAAGGTCGCGGCGACCATTGGAGCCATCACGCTCCCTCGAGATCCCTCTTCCTTGCAAGTGTTTCCGGTCGTCTCGTCACCGTCGTGCGTCAGACCTAGACTACGAGAAACATGCGTTCACGTGTTTTTGAAGCAAGCGGAACAACCAATTTTACACGTTCATAATACAAATTGTCGAAAGAAAGAAAATACTGCGTTGTGGTTTTATAAAAAATTGCGATCACTCACATGTGTGCGACTTCGTGCGCGATTATGAAAGCGCTGGTCAACCCCTCGTCTCGATTTAAGGCGCAGGATCTCGCTGGGTCGCAAGCTCCTGAAACAGGCGCGTAGCCGGAGGGACCCCCTATATCTAAACGCGTCAGCCACACGGCTACGTCGTAATTCACGTCCGCCGACGAAAGCATTTTTTTGTTCCATCTGTTCACGTTTTCGAGAGACCTTCGAGCATCTCCACGTCGAACCTACGATACAATGATTTACGTTTGAACGAACTGTAGTTCGTTGAAATCTTTTAGCGACGGATAAAATGTGTCGTTCGCTTACCATACCGTCTCTTTTTTCTGCGTATAAAATCATTCGTACGATAACCAGAATCATGTTCGACTCGATGGATGGGTCCATATAGATTGCACTAACCTGGAATAAAAATACGTGCCTCGGACATTGGCTCGAAATCTGATATCCTTTAAATAACAAGTTACTGCACTTACTATATTTAAAAGTGCTAGAATATATTGTTGTACCCGAAGCCCGTGGAAATCTATCACAGAGTAATCAGCAGCTATTCCGAGTTCCAACCATCGCATTGGAGATTCCTTAATGCCCAGTTTTCTCCCTAAGATACACTAGTATGTTTATTTTCATATCAAACCAAGAAAATGTAAATTCACTTCAAAATTACAATTGTAGTCCAGAGTTGGAGAATAGGGCTTGGGGAAAAATTGCAGCTTACTTGGAATCTTGTTCCTTTGCCACTTAGGCCCGGAGAAGTATCCAATCTCCTCGGAATCTACATCAATTGTCAATTCTTCCATTATAGTATCGTTGTATTCGGTAGAAGCGTCGTCCCTGTTATCGTAAAGGATCAGTTTCTCAGCTTCCGGGTATTCCACGTCAAAGACGTCACCGGAAAGATTATAGAATTCCTGGACCTCGTGAGAAATCGGAGAATCGCGTTTTCTTCGTGTCCATTTCTTATTTTTCTCGTTTTTATTCGACTTCTTCCAGTCTGTAATAAGTTCATTGATTTTCATTACCTACGTTAGCTCTTTTAACATCCCCATTAAAATATTAATTCAATAGGTCAGATCTCATTCATTAGGTCAATCTAATAAAATTGAATTGAGTCAATTTAATTTAAAAGTAATTTATTAAATGTATAAAATAAATCGTCGATTTCATATTGCATTTTATTCGATATTTTCTCTTCCTCAATGCAACCAAGTGTGCTTTAAGTTCCATCCCAAGAACCAACGTGTAATTAAGGGCTGAAGTGAACTAATTTAGGAATTGCACGCCCACCGAATTTACCGTGGAAATAACAAATTTCATTAAACTCAGCTATGTGAGCCACGATGTTCAAACTCTACAGGATATTAGATAATAATATATTCTTTTCTTCGCAATAGTTGAAAGATCAAAATTTATGTAAATTGTTACATTCTTTGTAACATAAATTGGGGATTGAATACTGCGCTAAGAACATGATTCACCTGGGGCGAAAATATTCGAATTTCTCAACCACCAGCTTGCGTTTCTCGATGGGAACATCACGTGCTGACCATTCATCAGTGGTTGAACGAGAAACGATCTCTGATCCGTCAACATCAGAGCGTACACTTCCCCGTCGCAGAGCGTCACGACGGCGGACGAGCCGGCGTCACCCTCTAAGCTGCCTTGTCGTAGGTCGCAATCCATAATACTATAGTCATATCTTTTTGAATCCGCGTCAGTAGAGCGGATCCAGTCGACGGTGAAATCGGAGGACAATAAGAACCGATTATTCGCGGTCGTCCTCAAAGTCCAGTTACTAATCTCAAGAAGCATCGGTTCCTCGGAAGTTTCCTTGGATCTTCTGTGACGCTGGCCGGCATTCGAAACCACTCGAGGATAAACGATCTCGTATTCCTGCAAGCTCTGCAGAAATTCGCGCGTTCTCGATTCGTGAGCGATTGTAAAGAACAACCACGTGGTTAACAGAAAACCGGCCAGTTTAAAACGGCACCGCGCCATGCCACTTATTCGTTTTGTGCTTTGCCGATTAAATTTCAATTTAGCAGTTATTTTCCCGGTTGCAGCCTGGTCCCCCGTGTCGCAGTTCGAAACTCGGCGAGCATGCTCGACCGCCGATGCAATTACCGGAGCCAGATTCGTGGATTCAATGTTCTAATTTCATGTTTGCTGGAAACGAGTTCGCCTCGGTCACTTTGCTGCGCGCGTAATCGAGTCGCGATACGAAATTCGCGTGGGAGCCACGATATTCTTTAAACTAACCATCTTCCCTGCTTCTTAATTATTTACCTACACTAAACGAAGGTACTATTGTTAATATTATAATGCGAACTAATTTCACTGAGGTTTTCGGTCGTTTCGAACTCACAAGCTTATCTCACTGAACCTGGGACTCGATTCGCGTGGACCCGCGACTCGCGGCAATTAACGATTCACCGTCAGTGACGGAACCGCGAATGCACGACGCGTGACAAAATTGGAGCAAGCGATAACGATGCTCGCGACAATCGTACGCCTCTTCGCGCGTCATTGCACGCGAGACTCGCACGGGTTTCCATCCGTCGCGTCATGCAAACTCACTGGATCATTAATAATTGTGGGAACAGTGTTTTTTCTAAGCGTGTCGTACGACGAAAATCGGTAGCTACCGAACACCGGGAGGCAGCATAGCATTGCAACTGGCGGCCACATGGAGCACGGCACGCGCGCGAGTAACGTGCGGCGGGTAAACGTACGAGTGAACGCGAGGCTGGAAAAAGCACCAGCCGCTCGCCGCCCACTGAAGTTCTAATAATGGCAGCTTTATGTGCGATCACCGAGAAACCGAGGATGCCGCGGTAGCGCATTATTCCGAGGCCCGACACGCAAAGCCGAGCCGAGCCGAGCCGGGGTGATCGTGAGTCGCCTCTACGGTTTAAAACTCGGGGTCTGAGGTTCTTAAAGCAAAGGTCTTGCCGCCTGGCCCCAACGCGACGCGACGCGGCGGAATTCCTCGTTTCCCTTGAACCGCGAACTCGAATCGCAATGAATCTAATGAACGGGAATTAAATCTGTTCCGGCAGCTTCCTCTCGCTCGATGGAAGAAACACGGGAATGCTGTAAGCAGCCTACGCTTGTCAAGAAAAATTAAGAAATATCGTAGTCATCGACTGACACGAATGAATTTAAGTACATATGAAATGTACAGCAAGCTAGGAATTATACGTATTATTTTTTGTGTATGGAGACAGACGGCATTTCTAGTTAAGATTATGATCAGTTTATGAACTTTATACTTGTTGCTGGAAGCATTTTACGATCGTGTGACATTCTTTCCAAGAATGATTTTATTGCTTCTTACCCAACGACTGTAAAACAGTGTCGTCTTGTCGACGAAGCTTACATGTGCATTCCTATTTATTAGCTTTCGTAGTAATTGTGTTTTCTCGTGACACGTACTTAACAGCAAATGAAAAAATTATGTAAAATATATAAATACAAAATGCACAATAGAAAGTGATAGAAGATTCGAGTTACAAGGAAGGGTTTAGTTACATTTTATAGACGATAAGAATTTAAAAAAGTTGAACACGAATAAGACGAATTGACGTTCAATCGAAGCTTTCTTGGATTCTACGAAGGCGATAAAACGGAGATTTCCAAGACCCTGTTAAACAGACTGCACGACACTAAACTGAATGCCTCCGTTTAGTTTGTGCACGTTAATTGGTCACAGCTGTAAATGCGCTGATACTTTAAACGACGTGGCTACGTATATGTATGGATAAATTCGGACACCTGATACAATGTAAATTAAGCGACACTAAGTGTTAATTCGTTTGAAATGTTATATACTTTTTCGCTCTCACGAGTTTCCATGTTGTAAAATTTCATATTGTGGGAATGTGAGGATGCATGAGTGTAAGGATGTGTGTGGCCACGTGTCGTCAGGCGGCGCGTGGAGGACCCGCGGAGGTCAGCGGAAGCGGATTATCGGCAACCATCCGAGCGGAATCGACATTGTTTAAACAATGTTTCGAGTTCCGCGGATGGTGTCGATGATCAAGGGCCGCCGCGAGCCGTTGGGACTCCACGCGTCCGGTTGGCGGTAGCGGTGGTGGCGTGATAGGACGATTGACGAATGTGTGAAGAATGTGTGAAGAATGTGTGAGGAGTGTGTGGAGGGTGGTGTGGCTGAGAGACGCGAGCGAGTTGGGACAGTTGTGAGTTGCGAGCCGAGCGAATAAGATCGAATAAAGTTTTACCAAGTTAACCCAAATCGAGCATAATTCTGATTTATCCCCTGCCGTGGAAAGGTCACTTAAACCCTCCTTTCCCATAATTGGGGGATCGTCCGGGATACAATCGGAATTTTTGCTTGATCTGTGAGTCGCGAGTATTCTGTGAGTAATAAATAGTGTGTCTCGAGTATTCTGTGAGTAATAAATAGTGTGTCTCGAGTATTCTGTGAGTAATAAATAG